AAATAACATATCGCACGTATACCATCTCTCACACGTGTTACCGTTACCCATCCCGAATGGAGTTGTAGTAACGGGACCTAAGCGGTTACCGAAAATTCAAACCAAGTCCTTCTTCGTAGAGCTCGCCATACAACTCGATTCAACAATCACACAACTGACAAGAAAAGTAGTTGATTTCAAATGCGATGTGATCGCAACCGCTTTCAGTTGCTGCTACAACTGCTACAAAGGCACGATAGCCACAATAAAATGTACAGCAAACGTACCACGCGCAACCGCGCAAGCCTCATGCGGTAATCAACAATTCGTGCTGACATGCACACGGACACCGACAGAAAACCAAGTACGACTGTTTTTCAACAAAGCGCGCGTAAACGAACAATGTCGCGTGCAATGTGGAGAGCAAATAACGATTTTGGAACTCAAGGGAACTCTCAACTCCATCAACGGTATGGAACCGTTTTGGAAGTACTTAAAATTATGGAATCAACCGGCAGATTCGGTTTACAGCTCATTGGCTACAGACTGGGAATTCCCAGATGTAGCTCACTTTCTTGACGTTTACAGAAGCTTCTACCTCTATACCGTAATCGTTCTCATGAGCATTCCCATTGCCGCCATTATCATTGCTGCATATCTCTGCGCAACCAAAACAGCTGCGAAACGGACAGCTTCGACGAGTTCAACAGTCACATTCTTCATCCCTTCGGTAGCCGGAGCGTGTGCTCTTCTTCATCTTTTCAAGAAAGTTTTCAAAATCCTCTTCCATCTACCCTTCCGTATTTTGTTCTCCCTGCTTGTCAGAAAGTATAGTCGGCAATAACTCAACAGTGAATTGACGTTCTATTTTTCCCCCTTACTCCGCTTCTTCACGTAAAATCGTTTCTTTGAAAATACTAGTATATAGTATAATTTGATCACAGATTAACTTGACCTCACTACTATAAATTGCTCGTACCACAACTATCACAAAGGGAGATTTTCAACTTCTTCTCATCAAACAACGATCTTTTCAGAGATGAGTCAAGAAAACCGTGAGCAGCCCATGGAAGAAGGTCAAGAGGAGATACCGGTGGAACCAGTTCAAGATGAAGTTCAAGTTCAAGAGATCAACGTCAAAATTAACCCACCGCAACCTCAACAACAAGAAGAGCCTCGCCACCCTCCCATAGAGGAGCTGCAGCCCTTTGACGAACCACGCGGACCATCGCAGACCGAGGAACTATCCATGGTGCACAGGAAAATCAATAGAGTTCTCGGAAGGACAGATGAACTGTCGATAACCGCGAACCGCGTTAACAGCACTTTCGTAAGTACCCTATTTCTCAATCAATTGTCTCAATTAATTCAATTCTTTTAACACCACAATTTATTCAAGTTTATATTCAGGCTGAAGTACTCCCACATATTTGGCACCCCCCCCCCTTTTTTTTCGTCGCTTAGGAATTCAATACAGAGCGGCAACGTGTCAACTTCAAGTCAACCTTTAAAGAAAAGTTCTTTCGCTCTATTTAGACAAAAAAAACCTAATTTAAGAAGTCGGCACGACCGAAGAATAGGCCTAAAAGCGGACATTCTCCGAAGGGATCCCTGAAAAGTCGACGAGCTGCTCGACGTGGAGAGGTAGTGCCTCACTTGTAAAAACAAAATGAACGGGGAAACCCTGCCAGTGGGGCGATGATATCAATCTTATAACTTTCACTTTAAACACTCCTCAACGTGGTCGACCAAAGGATCTTCGTAATCAAAACTGCGCTCGACCGCACCCTGGGTTGGAGCAAGTGTACGAACGGCAGAAGGGCCTCATGCAAGAACTCCAGGACCACATGGAAGTGCTAAAGGAGGTCCGGGAGCTGGCAACCCCAACGCCACCCCCGCGCTCGCCCCGGCCAGAACCGAGCTACCAGGTGGAAGGCCTACCACTCCAGCAGCTACGATGTGCATTATGTGATGATGATCATCACACTAGTGATTGTTCGCGTTTTCGCACCCTTTCCGACCGAAGACGTCGGATCTTCGAGCGGAACAGGTGCGTACGCTGCCTTCTTGAGGCTAACCACCTCGCGACTTCTTGCCCTGAATCTAGTTGTTGTTTTTACTGTAGAAATGCCAACAGAAGCGACAACCATCATAGTGGATTTTGCCCATATAAATTTCAATGGTAACTCTTGCTCTTCAATTTTCCAATATTTTCAATTCCTCAAATTTCTTCTTCAATTAATCAAGTTCTCAATTTTTTCGATTCTCAATTTTCAATATATCTCCTTCAAGTCTCATTCTCAATTTTTCAATCTCTCCTTCAAGTCTCACTTCTTCAATTGTATCCTTCTCAATTCAATCTTCAAATCTCAATCTCTCATTTTTCTTCAATAGTCAAGGTTTCAATTTCAATTGTGTTTGTGTTCGCAACTCAACTACTTCTTCAAATTTCAATTCAAATTTATTTGTAATTTTTTCGATTGCACTTTGATGCACCTTTTGTATTTGTTTGGTCGATTATGGTGTTATGCCTCCCAACTTTGTTGATTATAAAACTTTTGAAAAGAGGCAAATAAATAATTTTAGCTACGGGTAGACAATGCAGTCAAAGTCAAAATCATTCTCATAACCTACAGGAAATAAGGTATTACCAACATGGCCTTACTCTACCACGATACCACAACACCAACATAGATAGAAGACCGCAATAGCGAAATAACATGAAGGTGATCACATAACCACTAGTATACTCGAATTGTTCTTGATATATAGATACGATTGCATTGACATGGTAATTCATTACTATTTTTTAACATTAGTGTTTGTACTTGTATCATGAACGGGTATCTTGTTAAGCAGAATTTACGAACTATTCTAATCGTATGTGATTTTGTAATGTCATTTCAATCCGAAGCCTTTCCAAAAGTAATTTGTCAATCAGACTTCACCTTCGAAAAAACAAAAAAAAAACGGGGAGGAAACCACGTCGCATATTGCGTAATTTCTTTACGCTTGGCCGGGAGTGTCATGAACTCCGTTCATGATGATCCTTCTAGTGCCCCGCCCCGCACCTCTAGGGGGTACTTAAGCAACCCGTAGGCGATAGCGGGGCCCTGACGGGGAGTGCGGCTTTCATGGACGCTCTGCCGGAGCAATCGTCGTTTGCGTGATGCGACCGTACATCGATTCAAGCCGCCACCTCTTGTCGACATTCCAAAGGCTGGCAGTGGGGAGAACCATGATGCCAGCCTCGTGGAGGATGGGCGGAAGTCTCTCGCGAGTGGGGACCCGTTTGGGAAAGATCTTCAGGTGAATCCCTCAATATGTCAATAATCAATATATCAAGGAAAGTCCCTCAATCACTTCAAAGCTGTTGAATAATCGTGTATCCTTTAGTGTTTGTAGAGTCGAAGCTCATAATAAATATGATTATTGTATGTGTGTCATGTTCGGCCAATCATGAGACTCCTGGAACCACCTTATTCCACATCTGAGGAGTGATGCCCTCAGAACAGCCATAGTCAGGAGTGAGAATTGTCCCATCTTTGCTTTCAATGAATTCTATGCCTTCCTTCCGCTCAATTCTGTTGATATATATATGTATATATATATATATATATATAAGAACAGACTAATCTTTTTAGGTGAATATATCTCTCGATTTTCTCGCTGAATTTGTCGGAAGTGCTTTTGTAGCAAATCCAGTCTTCTCCATGTCAGAAGTAGAATCCTTCCCTGTATGCTTTTTCTTCGGACTTATATTACTGCCTAAAGCAATTAGAAATGTGAATGAAAGTTGCTGGCGTCTTCTTCTAGAAATGAAGAGATCCACGCAATAATTTAGAAAAAGGTTCATACATCTCATTCACTGATTATAAAAATGAACAATCGATATTACTCAAATACGAATACTACTCTACCAGCAAGCACATTACTAAAATCCCAGAATAGTGCTTACTGCTTCTCGAACCTTCTGACGAAGAGTGAAGAGAGCCCTGATTGTATTTAAAGGAGAGGCAGTACGAAATTGTTTGATAATCCCGGCTCCGTTACAAATAACAAATCTGGGTATGGTAACTCTAATAAACATATTCGCATTCTTAGTTAACCAGTGGCTATCAGTCATTTGTGAGAAATTGCGAGGTGCCCATGAAAACCACGAAAGAACGTTCCCTCTTCAGATCCGGAAAGTTCAAATCACCAATCAAAAGACAAGGAGTGTTGCAGAATGATTAGTCGCTAACACACTCCATCAGGTGCCACCAGAATACTGATGCGAATTTTGAGCAAAAGATGAATTCCAACTGACAGAACTATCAAAACTATTGGCAACCCGAGAACATGCGAGTGATCTCATTCAGAATCGATCAAAGATGGAAAAATCACCGCAGATCCTCTATGATATATTTCACTTCCGCACAATAACGATTGGTGTATTCTATTCAATATTCCGAATATTGAGAATATTGACTTTCGAAACCACTCCATTTGCTTCGAGTCGTTCGAGGTCCTTTCTTACGGCTGAAACAGCTGCGTATGGCACCAGTCGTTGGCAACGGAAAACTGGTTTCGACCCTCATTCAAGCGGAGAGTGGCTTGTGAGACTTTGCTCAGTCCGAGGATGCTACTGAAGACTTCTGGACAGACCCTTATAGCTCTTTTGCAGCTATGCACTTATAGTGCTTGAAAAGTTTTTGCACACGTTGGCTGTTAAAATCCATTCCGAGCATAGTAGTTTGAGCTTGTACGGCCTACGTCGAGCGTTCCTTAAGCAGAGAAGCTCTAAGTGCAATTTCGCTCACTTATGAACTAATTCGATCTCCTGAACCGCTATGAGCCATGAGCGATGGTGACTGCAGGTGCGGTTTGCCCACCGGTTTCCACGACGTCGACTTGTAGGTGATTATGTAGGCGACGTTGGAGAGTAAATAATGATGCTATGAGTTCAGCCACAACAAATCATCACCTTCGCTTCGATCAATATCCACCCATTCTATCCAGCGCTACTGAATAGGATGGGTGGATCTTTCATTGAACCGCTATCCTCCTTTGAACGCTTTAGCGCTTCCCTCGGATTGGAAGCAAAGCGGTCAAACGGAAGACTATTACGGAGCTGGGGTGAGCTATTGGTCACATCCAAGAGGGCGTGATCGGCTGAGTTGAATTCACAGAAAGCATTTCAATCCTTCAGAGTTTGCAGTTTTATATGATGTTTTTCGTTCCAAACATAGTTAAAATAAGAGTATAAGACCAGAATCGATCATAAAAGAGTGAAAAATTTTCCGTCCACGATGATTGTGACATATTGCCGGGTGCTGCCATGCACACGTGACACAGTGAATATGGCATCAGATCTTGCGATTGGCCTCGTGGTATGACGTTTGGAGCACGTAGCGCGGTATCGTCGTCGTGTTGAGTCACAGAGTACTTCTTTTTGGCCTACTTTGTGGCAGTCTGAGCAATTGTGTCGTCGGTATGCGAACGAAATGCCTTCCTCCACAGATCCAGCACGGAGCTGGAGGAAGGCGGCTACAATGAGCGGTCGATCGGGTTCCACTTTCGATGCGGGTTCACTGAGGTTCTCTGTTTGTAGCGTCTGGTGCCGTTTAGTAAACGAGTGCTTGACTGCATGTAAGCCAGTCGTCCCATTCTCTACCATTTCGTGTCTTGCTTCAAGTTAGTGAGGAGCCTGCATTCCCTCGAGAGGGACTGGATGGAACAAATTGGATAGGCCTCGATTGTGTCTAGTAATTCAGGCAAATGAAGGCTTTGGATTAAAGACCGGTCGTAGCTGGATTGAAGACCGCTTACGAATATTAGACACTTCATTTGATTTTCATCGTACTCTGCTGACCTGAACTTGACGATATGAGCGATTAACACGTCCTGCGTACATGATAAAATCGTCGTTGGGATCCTTGGCCTGCTTCGGGCAAGCGTAACGGCGACTGAACAACGACTGCTGCAGTCCATACAGGCTCGTGAGTATTTAGACGGCTTCTCTGAATGTAACATCGCGCTGTGTTCAAAAAAATATAATTGGAGTGCTGACCATAAGCTGTAGCATCCAGCTTCCGAAGAAGACGTCGAACTCAAGTTGAGTCGAGCCGAGCATCTGAGCGTCCACGATAGAGAAATCTTGATGCCTTAATACCACGCTTCGAAGACTAGGTCAGGGTCGGGGACACAGCCGAATTCCTCGTTTCGTCCTGCCAACACATCGAAACTTCTGCCTGGTTCCATTGCCTGTGAGGTCGACTTCGCTATCTGTTGTACCTTGAGAGCGTTTGTGAGTGCCACCAGGACTTTTGGAATTGTTGGTCCGTCATTATTTCCATAATCCTGATCGCCACTGTTACCTCTGTGAACCGATGGTAGTCTGTTGATGGACGGAGAAAACAAGAAGGTTTATTTTTTCCAGTCGAGCTGACTAGAACAAAGTGATGAGAGAGAAAAAGTAGTAACTGCAAATAACTGGGCTTATATACTATGTTTCACCTAGCATGTCATATCAACGTCCAGTAATCTCAGTAATCTGTAGATACCTAACAGTCTCTCATAAGACAGAAAATGAGAGGAATACTTTCACTTGAGTCATTTTCAAATTTCAAATTTCAAATTTTATTACGTGCAGCACACATGTAATAGATCAAAACATCTATAAGAAGGAAAAAGAAAGATAAAAATAAGCAAGTCCAAGAACACTAGGAACTACAGAATGCATGCGAATGGACAAACAAAGTGAAGAAGTTGCTACTCACGGAAGAACATGGCCTACGAAGAAGGATTTTTAATGGTTGATCCCATGATGATGACAGATATAATTTAAGAAATCTCCAGATTCGATATCAATCACGCCATGAAGAATTCTGAACACCATTAAAAGATCATCTTTCTTCGTCGGAGCTTAAGGGTGTCTAATTTAAGCACAGTGTTGGTATTGATACTTCGCAGAATGCTGCGCTATGTGAAGCAAAGTGAACGGAGAAAAACCTTCCTAGTGAAATTATTCTGAATTCTCTTAATCCGAAACACCAAGGCTTAGGAGATACCATATTCGAGCATAGGTCTAACATAAGTTTTGTATGCCAAAATGAGAAGCTGCGTATTCTTAGAGCACAGAGGTTTGAACAAAAGAAAAAAGCGTTGTTCCGCGCTATTAGTAATGCTCTTACAATGATTATCAAACGAGAGTTTGTTGTCCACATTTAACCCTAGATCTCTCACTAAATCGACCTTATTAATGACGACGCCTGACAAGAGATAATCACATCGACGTTTATTATCCCCAAGATGGAGAACTTTCGTTTTTTCCGGAGAGAGAGAGAAAGGCACCAATCCTGAGCCCATCGTGAGACAGCACGCAAAGCAAATTGCATTGCAACAGCTTTCACCATTTTGAATTTTTGAATATAATTTGATGTCATCGGCAAACATTTTACAGGTGATCCCTTCTTAAGCAATATAAGCAGGCAAGTCGTGCACGTAAACAGCAAAAGAAGAGGAGATAAAACGCCTCTCTGGGTAACACCACAGAGAGCATCCCGGACTGAAGATAGTTTACCATTAAGGATCACCTGGCAGGTGCGATTCTCGAGGGAGGCTCTTATTCAGGCAACTACCCGTGAAGGGATACCCACATGTGCAAGCTTTGAAAACAGGAGTTCATGAGAGACTCGGTCAAAGGCCTTCTGAAAATCCAGATATTCCACGTCAACACTCATTACCAAGGAGGAGTACTCTATTTACCGTAGACTTTTGATGGAGACCCATATTAATCGATAGAGTTTTGAATGCTGCTTACGGATATGGGAACTAAACTGCAACAAGGCTTTCCTAAAAAAGTTTCCCCAATGTTGAGCTCCTCATAGGCGCCTTACACAACTCCGGCATCATTTCGTTGAATGTTTCTTGAATTTAAAGTGGAACAGAATCATACGATCAAAGTGCAGATCAACTTTTCCTCGAATGTAAGCGACATAGGAACAAGGCGTTCACTCAAACAAATGTCAGAAAAGGTTTTGAGTGTCTTCTATGAAACGAGAGACACAATGCAAAAATCTCAACGGCGACAGGGAGCGAACCCGCATCTTCCGCTTATGAAGCGGGACCACTACCACGATGCCCCGGCGACGTTTGATAACAAAGCGATGAGTTCGTATTTCCAAATGACACTACTGTCGAGCAAATNCCGAGCCCCCATAACTTATTCAGAAAGTCTTTTTGCGGTTTTAATTTCCATATCCGTAAACAGCATTCAGAACTAGATCGATTAATATGGGTCTCCATCAAAAGTTCCACGATAAGTAGACTACCCTCCCTGTTTAGTATCCAGCGCAGCAGTCCATTCATTTAGTTATTACAACACTGACGTCTCGGTAGACTTGCCTTTCCTAAATCCACGTTGACAGCTAGGTAAAACACGATTGAGTACAAAGTGACGCACGATTCTCTTCTTCAGAATTTTTCCAAGGGCTCTACAAAAAAGAGAACCTATACTTATAGGTCCGAAATTGTGCGGAACATAACTAGGTGGTTTTTTCAATAAACAAACAACTAACGCAAGCTCCCACCTATTTGGGAGTTTTCCACGACAAAAGATCAAATTGAAGAGGCATTCTTCTTTATGCAGAAGAAATCTTGGAAGTAATCGTTTCAATTAAAAAAGGAAAGGAATGCCACCCGGTGTTGCCGAGGAGCACCTATGCTACTTCGAAAGAAACTCAAAAATCTCACGACGACCATACAGAGTCCTCCTTAGTTGGAAACAAGGTGCTATCCAGGGGGGGGGAGCTACAACTGGCTTAAAATGCGAATAAACGTTGGCAAAAACATCAGCAAGTAAATCTGCTCTATCGAAATCAGGAGTCACAATTGAGTCATCAGATTTAAGAAAGCCAACTCCTTCACTAGGATTGGCCCTTATGATATACTTATGCAAGGCTACCCTATTTTTTCACTCCACTACCTTTCTTCAACTGAGCAATTAAATCGAAAAAATTTCTATCGAACCTATCAGAGGCAAGTTTATAGAGAACCCAGTCATGCGTAACGTTAGGCTTGGAAGCTCTCTCATACGCTCGTATTTTGTGCAAGTAGAAACGTCTTAAATAAACTGGTATACGCTCAAGGGAGACTGGGTATTTCTTCCAAGATAAAAACATTTCCAACAGTGGAGTACAACAAAGATAAAGGTCCATACACTCCACTAACTGAATCAGAAGCATGAAGAGAGCCAAACCGAAACACAAATAGGAAATGAGGCGAATGACATCAGCATTTCTGAAATCATGTGAGTAAACCCAATAATCACTGAGAAGAGAAATATGCTATTTAAAAAAATTTACAACTGAGTCTGAGTGATCACTGGTTCTCAATGGAGGCGGCTGTTCTGGGGGGCATCACTTCCCAGATGTAGAGGCAGGGGTGTTTGGTGTCAGTATACACAATAGACAATAACCATTTATTAGACAAATCCATTACGATTATTTTCACGTTTTCAGTGACTTAAACGTCTACTAGGAAAATCTAATCTTTGATATTCTCGACTAATTTGACGACTTGATAGAAATTCTACGTTTCTTTAGAGGGGCAGTCTGCCTTGACGAGTCCGCCGGTCTCATCCTATTTCCATACACAGGCAAGTCTGGTCTAGGGTACTGTAGCGGCGGTTAGACGATGCCGCCAGCTGACTCAGCGGCTTCGCTGGCGGCCAGACGGTCACGGTTACCGACTAAGCAACGAGATCGTTCTCCTCCCGCTGAACGCCCTGCGGCGCTTAAATGCCTGGCGCAGGAGGCGGGAACAAGGGGATGACATCATGAACATAGAGTTCGTGACACTTCCCAGCCAAGAAAGGCTTAACCAAGATCACGTCATGAGTGGACCGCATCCTTACCGTGTGGGCTTAAGAGAAACTCTTATTGTTACCAGCCCTTCTCTCTATGTATACTTTTGAGCAAGATTTGAAGTTTGAAATCTGTTGACAATCTCAAATTACAAAACCACGGAAATGTGTAAAACAAGAAAATTCATGAACGTGATACATGAATGGGATACGGTCTGTTTTCCACGTGAGAATGCTTCTATGATTTCCTAGACGTCCTCGAGTCGTCGATGCTCTATGATTACCGTCCACACTCTATTCATCCGGGGATTAGCTATAATTTCTACACTGCTTTAGCTGTATTATTGTTTCTAGTAAGTGCAAACAATTAAAAAAGGTACAGTCTAATTACCGTATATCTATTTATTGTATTGCACATCTACAATCGGCCGATTAGTGAGTAGTGAAATAGTTACAAACAATCTAAAATACCATCAATTACGACTTGAAGTTAAGAATCTTGAAATGATTGAAACTTGACACTGAAGTATTGACGAAAATTCACTGAGAAAATTGATTGAAATGTTTGAGAGAATTGAGAAGCATTGAAAACTGATACATGGAAAAGTTTAGAAGAATTGAAACATCGAGAAAATTGAGAAGAATTGAAAAAAATCGATGGAATTGACTGACAATACATATCACCAAAGTTGAATATTTGAAAATTAACAAGTAGAAAAATGAAAGAAAACAAATTGACGTAATTTGAATTACATTGGAAACTTAACGCGGCAAAAGGTACTGTGGTGTTGTTGTTGATTCTCACTCTTTTTTGCCCTTCTACAATAGTAACAAAAGCTTGGGTCCGGGCAAGAAGTAGCCATATGATCGGCTCTTTTGAGGCATCGTTCACAACGATTCTCTCGAAGGCTCTCAATTTACGCTCGCCTAAGGTTTTGTAGGCCTTACAGTCGCATGCGTGATGATAGTCATCACAGAATGCGCAACGAAGGCGCTGATATTGGCCCTCCGCTCCGCTGGGGCCAGATTGTGGCGACGCGGAGGGAGGCGGCTGGGCGACGAGCCCTTGGAGAAAGTCGGCTTGTTCTCGTAATTCGTTGAGAACTGTTCGTTGTTGGTGACACACTTGCTCTAATCCATCAATTGTGCGATCAAGTATGTCCTTCATTTCGATTGTTCGTTGGTCAACGATATGTAGTAGTCCCTGGAAGAGGTATTTTTTCGACTTATAAATTTAAAAGTGGTTGTCTTGTTTTGATGTTGTATGGTTGAGGTTATACCTCGTGAGGACGCGTCTTTTTAAAAGATTCTGAATGAGTTACAATGGGATGTTGATTTTTCCTTTCTTGGCCGGATTTGCCGATTTCTTTGAAAAATTGAGATAGAAAATGCCCAAAATTAAAGTGATCGATTTTTTTGACTTAATTATTCTTGAATCTGATTTGAGAAAGAGAAGCGAATTGAACTAATTTGAATGTGATCGAAGTGGAAACTACTTACTGAAATGCTGCCAATCCTATTTTTGATGGAATTTATCTCGTCAGTCCTTCCTAGGATTCTGTTCAGCTTCCTATGCATTAACTCGATATTCTCACTCTCGTCCCTTTAAATCCTCGGCTCATCGAGTGGGCGATATTCAAGTTGACGTATTACCGGAACTGGAGCTGGTTCCACTTGAGGTGGGTTGTCGTTGACTTCGTCGTTTTCGCCCGGCTCTACTGGGCCGTCCTCTTGAGGTGGTTGAGGTTGAGCATCGTGCGGTACATCCATAGATTATCTGAAACGGCGGGGTCTTCTGTTTTATAGAGTATGAAAGGAGGTACCGCTAAATAATACAATAGACGTTGAGTTGACAGGAATTGAAAATATGATTTGAGATGAGTAAATATCTGACATCAACGGAGAAGGGACTGTCTGTTGACTGCAAATTCGGTAAAAAAGTAGCAGAGAACGCAGTGGGATGCCGATAAGAAATTAGAAAAACTTGAGAACAATTCTAAGAATAGAAAGAGCTAGAGCCAACGGAAGGCTCAGAAGTGTGAATGGAGGGGCTGTTGAGGTCGCCGTTGACATTTTTGTATTCCCTGCGCTGAGATATGCGGTGCTGATAACCGTGAAACTTCGGAACGCAACGAGGATATTGTAAATATAGAATTGCTTGCAAATTTCGAAAAAATGCTTGATGTCTGGAAAGTCCCAGTCAATATGGAAAATGTCGTTTTCTTCATTCCCCTCTGTTTCCTCTTTTTTTGTAAATTTTTGAAGTGTTCTTAACCCATTGATGTAGCTGAAGTTCCTTGAAGTTCCAAGACTGTTGTGTAGGAGCCGCACTGGACGCGGCATTGTTCTTTCACACGTGCTCTGTTGAAAAAACAATTTGATGTGGTTTTCAAGTCCTTTCTTTGACTCAGTTTAGATACTAGGTTTTTGACGATCATATCTTTTGAAACTATAAAAAGGTTAAACTCTTCCGCTCCGTTTGGGAAGTCCCACGGTTCTTCGAACTCGCGGGCTTCCTCCATTAGGCCCGTAAGGGCGTTGAGCTGCCTGGTTAACCTTTGCTTTGCATTTTCAGCACAAATTGCTGCCGTGACATCCTTGCATTGACGTCTCCTTGTCGGTGGGCTTGTGAGCAGGAGCGAATAGATGACTTCGACGACTAGAGGAGTGCTAGTGCACTGGTTGGCTAGTGCGAGATAGATACATGTTTCTGTTATCACATGGCCTTATCGGAATTAAGAACTTCTTGACATGTTGTGAATTTTCTTATGGGAAAGTCACATTTGCTGACTCCTTGAGTGCAAACTTTGAGAAACTTCGATAATCTTTCTTATGTTTTTTGGAAAGATGGAATCTCAAGTTTTATCTTGCAATAGTTTTGAGAAACTCAAGGGTGAAAAGTTTTGTTTTGGCTCCCAGAAACTGCTATCTTAAGAAAATCTCTTGAGGTCAAAATTGCATTCTTCAAGTTTTATATACATATATATATTGCGGTATTACTAAATAGGAAGGCTTGAAAAGAAAGAAACACTCGAATTTATGCGTGTTCAAGTATTTATTCAGAGAAAACTTGGATGCTACGCAGGTTGACATATTTCCTTTTTTCAATTCTATCTTTCAAACTGGTACGACTTTTCAGTCAATCAGTGGTCTTTTTTGAGAGTTGCTGTCTTCAACATGTGAAGTTGGTTGGTTTGCTTTTCTCGAGAATTCTGATGTACTATATCATGTGCTCGATATGAGTGCACGAATTTTGCCGGCTTCGAAATGAGTTTATAAGGTATACCTTACTGTTTGGCCAGACTATCGATCTGCCACCGGGTTTCTTCGAGTTTTGCTCTGGTCGTTAGTGTCTCTACTGCGGTGATATTTGTTCTAGTCTAACCTTCCAGATTCATAAGGTGAAGCTTGAAGAAGCGAGGGATAGAGAGTATTTAAAAAACGGCCACTGTGTCATGGTGCAACGTGGATGCGCCTTTTGGGCCTTAAAAGGCGTACCTTGAAGGAGTATTTCGCACTGGCGTGAGGAAATCCGTCTTTTGCTTTCGGATAGCACAAGTAGTTCTCTATTCTCATTAAGTTCCTTCCAAGTAATTAGTAACTTGAGAGTAATGCAATTAAATACCTTCGCTTATTGAGAAAATCTCCACTTGAATATGATATGGAAGGTTTTTAACCATAGCTTTACTCGTATATGTGTTGACTAGGTTGAAGGGTGATGTGCTCAGGGAATAATGTGGGAATAAGCCCTTGCTGAGACACCACGTCATTTTGGATTCGGCCGATGCACCATGTTCTGGGGGGCATCACTTCCCAGATGTAGAGGGTTAATGTTTGGTGTCAGTATACACAATAGACAATAACCATTTATTAGACAAATCCATCACGATTATTTTCACGTTTTCAGTGACTTAAACGTCCATTAGGAAAATCTAATCTTTGATATTCTTGACTAATTTGACGACTTGATAGAAATTCTACGTTTCTTGAGAGGGGCAGTCTGCCTTGATGAGTCCGCCGGTCTCAACCTACTTCCTTACACAGGCAAGTCCGGTCTAGGGTACTGTAGCGGCGGTTGGACGATGTGGCCAGCTGACTCAGCGGCTTCGCTGGCCGCCATACGGTCGCGGTGATCGGCTAAGCAACGAGATCGTTCTCCTCTCCGCCGAACGCCCTGCGGGGATGACATCATGAACATAGGGTTCATGACAGTGACTCTTCAATTCGAGAGACAAGCCCTACCTTGTTACAGGATAAGAGGTCAAGAAAGTGCTGAAGTCTGGAGGGAAAAGTTGTAAAAAGTTGTGCTTGATAGTTTAGTCCAGAATTCAGCAGCCAAAGAATCAGAAGAATAAGGTACGGGATGCCACACAATAGCTGGAAAATTGTGGCCTCCCACGAGAAGAGTAGGGAAACTAATAGTAGACAAATCGCTCGAACATTTGATTAGTCGTTTTGAATGAGTAAACGAACACTTGGGAGCTCTGTGAACCAAAATGAACCAGTGTTTTCCAGTAGTGGAATGCAAATCGATTGCAACAATTTCATAAGCATTATAAGCATTAGAAACACATTCAAAAAAACAAGGACAGGAAAAAGCTTCTTCTTCACTAGGAAGGCAACTCCTCCTCCTTTCTTCCTTAGTCTATCACACTTGATGACATCATAAATAAATGAAACGTTGCCCAACTAAGACACTAAATTATCCTTCTTCTTCAACCATGTCTCCGTGATAGCAACAACCGCACAATCGAGCTAGATAAAAGGTAAACCAAAGAATTAATACTCTTACAAAGAGATCTCGCATTAACCAAAAGACAATACATCTCATTACCTTGGTGCCGAGGTTCAATTACTGTCTAACGTAGCAACAAATTTAGCAATATTTGGACCACTCTTGTTGGGCATGGTATCAGCGGAATGTTCATTCATTGAAACATTAGACACAACCAGTACCGGAGATGAAGATGACGAGCCATCATGAAAAGAATCAAGAACAATAGGAACACGAAAGCGAGCCATCCCGGCAGCTCTCAAGGAGTGGATACGCTCTCTCAGGCTTAGTTGAAGAGGGTCTTACAATAAAAAACCTGAAAGATGAAAGTGCTTCAACAAAAAGGCTGAAGAAAATTTGTTTCTGAAAGAAAGAAGTTGGTAATACCACTTGTCGGCTTACCCATTTTATGACAACACAGGCGGACATTCGATCGAGAGTAGGTGAAAAATTTTCACACCTTTTTAACATCAAACGAGACCCTAACAATAGCGCTCGGCCAGTACATTCAACTACATTCGAGACCACAACAGACCTTAAGCGTTCTTGTTCAGAAAAACAAATCATATTGCAATTACACTGAACATTCGAAGAGAGATTATCAACAACAGAGAAAGACTGTGTAGCCAACTAGGGATCATCACCATTCTTACCTAAAGATAGTCTCCAAACTTCAATCTCTTTCCGTGACCTCTCATTCTCAAGCGTTTGCTCACGCCCTTTCTTCCAATTTCCTATTCCGCTGAATAAGATCTTCCATGGCCGTGCTTTTGTCGAGAAGATGAGTTAAAATAATCTTGCCACGGAAGTTGTTTGTCGCAGGTCAGAGACTTGACTGCATCGATGAGATCATTATTGTCCAGTGGTGAACGGGAAGGTGGTCGTCGTTCCAGAGAAGGTCCCTGAGGTTGGGGGGAGCACGAGGAGTTCCAGAATACATTAAATAAAATATAAGAGCAGATGAATCCGATAGAATTAGCAATAATAGACCTTAAGCGGTGGCTTGCTTTGAGAACAATCAAAATTTAACCGCCAGCCACAAGCAGTTTCGATTGTGAGATCAAACGAGGCGCCAGTCAATAATCGATGACCCACTACGCGACACGAGACCAACCAACAAACGAAGAAAAACTAGAAAAATAAACCTCGCCAAAAGGCAAAATTCTTCCACGAAATCGCACCCGCCACGTAGGTGCTCACACGAACCAGTGATAAAAAGAAACAGTAAAACCACTCGAACCAGGAATAGGATCAGAATGTCAGCGCATGCAGAACAACCGCGCGCAGTGACCGCAGCCTCAAACTCAAACTTGAGTAATAAAACCAGCAGATGCAGGCCGTGAAACAGGACGTTTATATGCATGAAAAGTCAATGATTTGAATTTCATGCCTAGTCACCACACCCTTATCATGATCGATTCAATGATCCTGCTCGACTCTACGCCCAACAATGTGTCGTTCATCCTTGGCATACGACATTTGTTAAGCTAAAGAAGTATAAAGGTTCTGGTGTTCAAGACAGAAGCATAACGAATATATAATTATACGATTCTCATGAGTCATTGTCCGAAGATAAGCGTCACTGGGTCAACGATCAACACATTCTGCATTCTAAATATCACAACAGATCTGATTCTTTTACTTTCTCCACACACATAAAACATCTTGAGTATCTGAGGGCTACTGGGCGATACTTGGCAGACAGAGCGTTTACGCCTATCTGAAGCCTTATTCAAAAATCCAATCTGTTCTGCTAAAGTTCGTTTTTCGTTTTTTGAAAACGCGGCTTCTCCTCTAAATAGCGATTGCGTTGCAACGTAGGATTGAAGGCTGTCATCGGACGAGAGACTATCGATCGCAGCCGCAGATGATCCATATGAATCGATTAGTACTCGCAGGGCTGTTTCCTCTCGTGAGGTCGGTCTTGAACTTACAATTAGCCTGAAGCTAGAAGGGTGGAAGAATTGGTAAAGCTCATAATTGGGACAACCAATGA